GAGTAATCATTTCCTCTCTTACATTAGTCTCCGCAGCGTGTCTGGGCTAGGCCGTTGGTCACAGAGACGATGGAAGTGAGAGGAGAGGGGAGGGGCTCCGGGCGGAATAGATTCGTACTCTATGCAAATATCATCACTTACCAACCCTGGATAGGGGATGATTGACGACGCTTGGTGGAAAAGAACCCGATGATTGGGAAGTTTGTACACGCGGGGGAGACCTGTTAAATTAAGATGAGGGCATTTTTTCCAGACTCCGTAGATTAATTGCCACTGGATGGGTCGGTTCCCCGCTCTTTCAGTCTCTGCTACCGGGAAGTCCTGTCGCATCCATTGGATCAGACGAGGTTGCACTCCATTGTACTGTACTTTGCTATCGGTGATTTGGTACTAGTAAGCAGTAAACGAAGGGATGTGTGCGACTCTGTGTGTAAGGCTGGCTGGTGGTGTGTTGGGTAGGAAATGCCGACGGGGGGACGGCGGCCGTTCCCTGCCTTATGCCTTATGCCTGAAGGAAGGATGGGTTTTCTATTTCTAGAAGCCGCTTAAGGCTGAGATGTGGCCATGTTGCCTTGTAGCTACTTCGTAGCTCAGTCCAAGCTTCTTGCGACAGGGTGTGTGGTATATGCAGGCCAGACGCACTGCAAGTGAGGTTAGTTACCGTATCTGTCTTGACATGTTCATGTGGCAGATCGAGACTAAGGGTCCGCGTCCCATCCTTTGCACTCGTGACAAAGTGATCCGGGTGGTCTTGTTGGAAATCTGACTGGATGAGGTGATGGGAAGCAAAGATCCCAGGGCTGTGCTATCCGCGGGTGTCCGTCTTGCTTCCTCGCACATGTCTTGGATGATGACTGAGATTCTTCATGAACAGGGCAATGGACCCCTGGCCTCTGGTGTTAGGACCATAGAGAGGTGTCGCTCCAGAAGACATATTCGTACGAATACGAAGTTGTCTTAGACAATACCCAAGAACCCAGGCTATACTGGTCACGCATCATGATAAGACATGCAACAGTAAGCACCGCGCGGCCAGGCTCACTAGAAGGAGTCGTGCGCACACTCTGTCCTGAACCTTCTCAAGGAACATCAGCCCAATCCAAGGGCAAGTGCACGTTCACCCAACACAAATTCAAATACCACCAGACGGGACGGATGGAAAGAACGAGGGATCCTGCAGCCGTTGCCGGTTGCGCCTCGCAACTTCAGCGTTGCGCACTCTGTCGATCCGCATCTGGTAGAAGTTCCTATCCCACCATTTGATCAGTATCAAGATACCTGAACAGGAAACAAACAAAAATCCGTACTTGTGCAGCGCAAAGATCCGCGGCGAGTCATCCGTGCTCGGCGTCGTGGTATCCCCGGATTTCTTGATCGCATCAATCTGCAGCGCATTATCAATCAGCCAGCCCATCCAGCCTCCCAGTTGGTCATCGTTCTTTCCCTCCATCTCACACTCAAAGACCCGTAACACCTACCTTGTCATCGCGCTCTTTCTCGGCGGCCTTATCGTCCTTGCCTTCTCCATCCTTCTCCTTCGAGTCCTTGTCCTTGTCTTTCTCCTTTTCCTTTTCCTTCTCCTTCTCCTTGTCCCCACTCTTCTTCGCTTTCCGCGCCTGCCTCTCCTCGTACTCCTTCTTCACCTTCTCAATCTCTTTGGCCATCGCATCGCGCTTCGCTTTCGCCTCAACCTCCGCCGCATCGATGATAGGGGAGCAGAAGTTCCGGTCGGTGAGGTGGGAGGGGCAGGCGTAGAAGAAATCCTGCGAGGGGAGTCGTTCAATCGTTAGCACGGCGAATAGAGATCGATGTGTGGGGTCTTCGAGTCTTTTATGGCAGACATCCAGAAATGGCTTACCTTGTTGTCAGGAGTGATCAGGACCGAGGTCGAGGGTTTGTAGCAGATGTAGCATGATTTAGCAGAGGTGTCGGCTACGCGACGGAGGTGGTAGGTATTTTGAAATGGCGAGGCCATTGTCTCTGTAAGAATTTAGGGGAAGATCAGAGTAAAAAAGGAAAGGACTAAGGAATATCGGTGGTTGACTGCGTCCTGGGCGCATGGGGGTAGGATGAAAATACGGAAGTTGGAGCTTTGCGTGGGGAAGGGACAAGTGAGATAGTTTGGGTGCGGAGAAAATAGTCCACTCTTGGTGATGTCATGTGACAAGTATACAATACATGTTGCCCTCTCGAATTCTGGAATACAGTGATATCCACTGATAACTACCTGCCCAACTAACGCCAGAGCAATGCATACATAACAGTCAGGACTGACTCTAGGTCTAAGCCTTAACTTTTCAAAGAGAACAATATCCCCTTTCCTAGAACATTGGATATAGGGTAAAAAAGGGAAACGATCAAGAAGCTCATCTTCGGGAAATCAGAAGAGTCGAAAACAGGAGAACCAAGTTTACCTTGGAAGTTCATCACACCACAATATCTTCCATCATCGAAAATCTGCAAGTGGAAGACTGTTTGCGGAGGAAGTGGTAATTTACAGACACTCATCAACCACGCCAGCGGCCTCCTCGGCTAGCCGGAGGTCTTTAGCATCCAAATCCATCACGGTAAAATATTTGTTGAACGCGGACAGGATGTCTTTCAGAGAGTGTTTAAGTGTCGTGAGGACTAGATCCACATCAGGAACCCGACGAGCCTGAGCCTGCGCCTCCGGATTGCTGGAAGGTGGGAAATCGACATCCGTCCAGTGCGCGTCCAGACCGCCGTTGATGAACGGCTCTAGGGTTTGGATGGTTTCGGTGAACAGACGGATGATGGCAGGAACGTCAGCTTGGACTTTGCCGTAGGAATCCTCTTCGAGACTCTTGATGGTGAGGCCAGTAAGAGAGTCGATGGAGTGGACAATGGAGCCTATATTGGCGTGGGGGGTGCCAAGGACGATACCGGACAAGCGACGGGCGTAAGTGTGTTGAAATTGGCGGCCAACCGGGGTGCGAAGGGCTTGTGCCATGAGAGGGTGCAAGTCTTCGGGCTTACATGTGATCAAGGGGCCGGTGAAGCGCTCGAGGAGTTCCTTGTAAGTAGCAAGGAGCTTCTGCTTGTGTTCCGGACTGAGCATGGCAGATAGTGCCCGGTCCAGGACATCAAGAGCTTTGGCGCGGGCGGTGGGAGTCCAGTCGGGGTTGCTTCCGAATGATTTAATGGTCTCATTCAAAGCCTCCTGGTGAGAAGTGGTCTTGGGGACGGGGGCGAAGATGTCAACCTCACTTGGCGCCTTTAGCGGGTTTGTGAGTCGAGGGAGAGTGCGAAGGATGAGTTCATCTTTGGGAGGTAGGCCAGTGTCGATAGCGGAAAGTGCCTTTTTCTTTTCCCTATTCTCCCGATCTTCCTTCTCATCAACCTTTGGTTTGACCCGGGTCGCGACACCCTTGACCACTTCTGTGGCCGCGGCGAAAATTTGAGCCCAGGCTGCCCCTTCTTCACGGTCAATATCATTGAAGATTGCTTTGCGACGATCAGGAAACTGCTGGCTGATTAAAAGTAGTTCCCAGAATGCGAAGGCTCGAACCGTCTCCTTCTTCGCTTTGAGGCCGCTAAGCAAGCTGCCGTTGGGGTCTTTAGCATCGGCTGTCAAAGGCTGGCCGCGCTTGAGGGGCTCTTTGCTTAAAAATATGGAAAAGAAAAGGTTGGCGCTCTGCCAACAAATCATCAGAAGTGCTCCTGAGACCATTGACCTGACAATGATTCCCAGGGTGATCGGTGGAAGAAAGCCCGGCGGATGAGCGGCGGACCTGGGGATGTCCCAGACGAGTTTGGCAAAATACAAGGTGGTACTCCACGCAGAACGACGGAGGAAAATGGAGTACGCCAGAGGGCAAACTAAAGCAGCCAACAAACTCCTCTTGATTCCGCCAACAATGGATGGTAGGAATTCAGCCTGGATGCGTTTGGCAGTGGACTGAACCGTACTTTTGTCCTTCTCAGACCGTTTGGCGACTGGGATAGGGATTTGGTCATAATCACAGTACAGATGAAAAACTGACTGCACGACTGCAAGCATGAGGTGATAGGTGTAGAGGTAAATAGCCCGTTCATTAAGACTTGCGCGCTCATGGGGTCTGGCATCATTTTTCTTTCTTTAGCTGGGGTTCCACTACGCTCAAAGTAATTCAGCCTCGGGTGAGCACATACCTGGCTCGGTTCACCCATTCCAAGTGCGCACTAAGCGGCGAAGACCATCTGTAAATCTCATTGAACCACCACGCTGAGAACATGTACCATCCGAAAGTCTGGAAAGCATCGAACGGGATAAGTTGCTTGAGAGTACTGATTGACGAGGCGGTCGTCCTTGCGCCAAGGTGCATCTGACCAACACGCAGAACAAAGATGACAAGGCTGCAGAGGGAGAGTAAAACTGTTCGAATGCCACATGATCCAATTGGGAACCATGACCAGAAGACTAGTGGGATGTCGCAAGTGGTTAGCAATCGCCGTGATTTCGTCTTGCGAGCTGCTCCATCCATCGTGGTTGTACTTACATGATGATTTTTCACCAAGGATAAATGCAACAATATAACAGACTAATAGCGCCAGCGCAGAAGCATGAACAAATCTTCTGTGCAGGGCCGAGGTCAATATGCGCCGATAAGGGCGAGGCCGTGCAGCAGCCATGATGAGGGTTGGGATCTAAGTGTGATGGGATGATCTCTCGGTAGAGAAGGATGAATCAAGTTCACCGCATGATAAGAGTAGCTGCACAATGGGTAGCAAGCACGCTTTGGAATAATTGAAGCTCCAAGCGTATTGAAATGGAGCTCAGTCGAGGGAAAGCGGGCAGCGGATGCGACGACAAAATGAAGCTTTTCGAACAAAGCACCAAAACACACCCACCAGCCACATCCGCCGTATCAGGTGACCGGGCAACACGTCGAGTCCGTGCGTCAGGTGATGGCGGCCTGCAAAGCCGGGTGTCCAAACCCAGGCAACAACGCCATCGGCCCGCTTTCCCCCCTGCTACCGACGTATGCCCTGCGCTGTACGGAGCCTAGACTAGTGTACTGTACATGTGCCCGCTTGCATCAGCCGGAGTCAGGCTGATCTCAACTACTGCTCTACCCAGTAAATTCCCAGTCCTTCCTGCTTCCAACTGTCTAGCCACCCAGGGACACTTTCTCGCCCAGCCATGTCTTTCGATCGCTTAGATTCGCTAGAGTCGCAGCCTACGACTCTGCGCCGCGCAGATGACCCACACTATCGTGATGACCCTGAGTTTGACCGCTTGACTGAGAGTCTCTCCAACCGCCTCTTTACCCTCACCTCAAACATCACTCGTTTATCAGACCAGATCGCTCTTCTGGGTACGCGTCGAGACACCGAGCGGGTGCGCGAACGGGTTCACAACCTATTGGAGCAGACCCGTGTGGGTTTTAAGGATGTAGGGGAGGGGATCAAGAAAGTAACTACGTGGGAAGACGTCAATGTATGTTGTGTTCCATCTGCGCTGTCCGCGCTATCGCTGGGCTCATTCCCCTATAACGTGAGCGTCGCTGACATCTACCCACCAGCCTTCTCAAAAATGGACCCAGCAGAAGCTCTCTTCCGAATTTAGAGCTACATTGGAGGAATTCCAGACCGTCCAGCGTCGTGCCCTGGAGAAGCAGCGAGCGTCTGCAGTGGCTGCTCGCACAGCCGTGGAAGACGGCGAGCATGCGGCCGAAGATGGCTTCCAGCAACAGCAAGAGCAGCTTCTCGAACAACAACCTCGACTGGCGAACCAAGACGAAGTGGACTTCCAGGAGTCTTTGATCATCGAGCGGGAGGCGGAAATCCGCAATATTGAGCAGAGCGTCGGCGAGCTGAATGAGCTCTTCCGCGATGTCGCTCACATCGTCCATGAGCAAGGAGGCCAGCTCGATATCATCAGTGAAAATGTTGAAAGAGTCGGAGATGACACTCGCGGTGCCAATGTGGAGCTGCGAAGCGCCAGCAGGTACCAGAAGAATGCGCGGAACAAGGCCTGCTGTCTTCTGGTCATTTTGGCCGTGATCTTGCTGATCATTGTCCTTGCCGTGGTGCTGGGGTGATTTTCGCCGGCTCCCGAGGCCCACCTCTAGTCTGCAACATCGCTGGTTGATCCAGCGTGGTTCGCAGCGTTCCCTCTCTTTTGATGATATCCTTCCCATGTACGTTTTATTTGTATGCGTATGTTTCCACTCGTTTTGCAGGCGCTTGTCGTCTTCACTCATGACTCTCTTAATGAATGACCGGCGCATATGGAGCAGAGGATGTTTATCTATCTACAACGTTCGTACTGTCTTTCTATGCTTGATATCATACATAGCTTCTGTTATACATGGATTGTACACTGAAATGAATTTACCCAAGAGACCCGAAACTCCTTGTGTTCGCCTGTACACGTGCACCATAAATCAATGAGCAGAATGCGATGGACTGCCTACAGTCCCGCGAACTTGCTGAACCGCATACGGCAGCCCTCCCAGGTGTTCATCTTAGGCCGGACGTCCAGGTAGAAGCTCAATTTACCCGGACCAGCATTGGCGGCCAATCCAGCGCCGGTGGCCCCTCCCGATGTCTTGCCTTGGTAGAAGTCGATAACGTACTCAACTCTTTCTCCACCACACCTTTCCACAACCCAATCGTGTCGATCAAATGGTAGCTGGTAGCCCATCAGGTTGTTGATTCGCGCCCGAGGGCTCAGGAATTGAGGGTCAACACCCAAGCCGCGGAATGAGTACAGTTTGGGGCCACCACATTTCTTGCTGCCGGGGTCACTGCTGGGAGCTCGACTCTCCCATTCCAGAATCTGCTGCCATGCGCGCTCGTTGACGGCGTTATGGATGGGAATAATGGACGCGACAGTGGTGGCCAGTTCAGAAGCCGATTCTGTGGAAGAAGGTGTGTTGCCCTTGCGCATCAGCGCCTCGAAGAACTGTCGCTCGGACGGATAGATCCAATTGCCAGTGTTGGGGTCGTGGCCTGTCTCAGCCTCGTCGTTCGATGGCGCGCCATGCGATGCACTCGGGGAAGAGTATGGTGATGGCGGAGCGTTGGGTGATGCGGGAGATGACGATTGGGATTGGGGTTCGATGGCTCGTGGGATGCTGCTTACTTCACGATCGGTGGATAGTGGGCGTTGCATCTTCGCCTTTGATCGACTCTCTTCTGAAGGCATTGGGTGAGGAGGAGGAGCAGCTCCTCCGGATGCCTTGTGTTGTTGTAGCCATGCCTCGCGAGTTTTGTGGTCAACAGGGCATACTCCGGCTGCCGTGGCAGGCTCGGGGGCGGGCGTACTGGCACCAGCACCCATGAGTATAAGGTGTCTATATAGTGGGATGGGAGAAAATGGGGATCGAGGGCTGAAAGGGTCGGTGATGGGAGTACACCGTGCTGGAAGCGTCTGGCGAATGAGAAGTATGAAGATAGAAATCAAGAACTGGAACCTGGAACTTGAAGGGAAGCGGACAACTCCGAACAGGCGGAGAAAAAATGGCCGCTCACCGCCTTGAGTCCCGGGGATCAAAACAGCCCCTCTCTTTGCCCAACTGGGAAATCCATTTATTCCCCTCCCCCTCTCGTTGGTCTGGCCGTCTCTTTCTTCAATCACCTCCATCTGCTGCTTTACATCGCCAGTTCAATACCAATAAAGCAACTTGCTGAAGATTAATCAATCATGGCTGCTTCCGCTGATAGTCCCGTCTACCGGGCCACCACGACGGCCCCCGTCAACATCGCTGTCATCAAGTATGTTGCTACTATGCGTCCCACCCCCTATTGCGGTCCATCACGAACCACATTGATTAACCCCGGAAACTGACAAGAACTCTGCAAGATACTGGGGCAAGCGTGATGCTGTGCTCAACTTGCCTACCAACTCCTCTCTCTCCGTCACCCTCTCCCAACGCTCATTGCGCACCCTGACCACCGCCTCCTGCTCGGCCATCTACCCCGCCCAAGACGAGCTGATCCTCAACGGCAAGCCCCAGGATATCCAGTCATCCAAGCGCACCCTTGCCTGTCTCTCCAGCCTGCGCGCTCACCGCAAGGAGGTCGAAGCCGCCGACTCCTCCCTCCCGAAGCTCTCTGCCCTCCCTCTCCGCATCGTCTCCGAGAACAACTTCCCCACCGCTGCCGGACTCGCCAGCTCGGCTGCTGGCTTCGCTGCCCTTGTTCGCGCCGTGGCCGACCTCTACCAACTCCCACAATCTCCCCGGGACCTCAGTCGCATTGCCCGTCAGGGCTCCGGCTCCGCTTGTCGGTCTCTGATGGGCGGCTACGTCGCCTGGCGCGCCGGCACCCTCGAGGATGGCAGCGACAGTCTGGCTGAGGAGGTTGCACCCGCCGCTCACTGGCCCGAGATGCGCGCCATCGTCCTGGTCGTCAGCGCCGAAAAGAAGGATGTCCCCAGCACGGAGGGTATGCAGACGACCGTCGCGACGTCGAACCTGTTCGCGACGCGGGCGAACACCGTCGTCCCCGAGCGCATGGCCGCGATCGAGACCGCCATCCAGAACCGGGACTTCCCTGCCTTTGCCGAGATCACCATGCGGGACTCCAACGGGTTCCACGCCACCTGCCTGGACTCGTGGCCTCCGATCTTCTACATGAACGATGTCTCGCGGGCCGCCGTGCGTCTCGTCCACGACATCAACCGGGCCGTCGGCCGCACGGTCTGTGCCTACACCTTCGATGCCGGCCCGAACGCTGTTATCTACTACCTCGAGAAGGAGACCGAGCTCGTGGCTGGCACGATCAAGGCCATTCTCGGTACCAAGGCCGATGGCTGGGAAGGCCCCTTCTACGAGCCCATGAAGCATCTCAGCGCCCCTGGTGTTTCCCTGGACAAGGTGGACTCCCGGGTCGTGGACGTACTCCAGGATGGCGTCAGTCGCGTCATCCTCACTGGCGTCGGCGAGGGACCCGTCAGCGTGACCGATCACCTTGTCAGCGAGAAGGGCGATGTCCTCTCCCACTAAGGCGCTCTCATGCCGAACTCAAAGCCCCGCGGGCATCGACTTATCACACCGCGGATTGCCTTGAGATGAAAAGATACCCAAACCGGTCCCTCCTTTGTTTGTTTCTAATGGAGGGATTGAATTCTATATCCAGAGAGCATATATTCTCGTCTTTTACGAAGCATATTACAACATTAATAATCATTTTGACATTTCAATCGAATGGCTCACCATCCCCAAAGGAATCTATGCTTTTTTGTAACCTTTTCCAAAACCATAGTCATAAAAAAGAAGTAAAGACAGACAGACCACCAAGCAGGCTTCCAGGTACACGGACCAGCATGCCTTACCGAGAAAAGTTTCGTTCTAATTGAGCAAAGCCGACAACTTCAGCTCCTTGACAGCAGGCACCTCCTTGCCCTTGCCCACATTGGCAGTGGCAGTCACACTGTCCCAGAAGACGCTCTGCCCGCCGCCGCCCATCCCCAAGGGCTCTTCGCCATTGCCAAACCCGCCGAGATCCGCATTCTCGAGCTCCCCATCTGCCTCCCCCTTGGGCCTGTCGGTCGCGGCCACCAGAGCGCCAAACACCTCCTCGCGACTTTCCGTGCACAGCTTCAGCACCTCCTGCATGGCCTTCTCGATGGCGGCGGCGCGCTCGCGCATGGCGCGGCGCAGCAGCGCATCGACGAGGGCCTCGACCTCGCCGACGGTGGAGTTGGCGCGCTCCAGGAGCCGCCGCACGCTGTTGACGAGGTACTCCTCCTCGTAGACGGTGCCCTTCTTGCCGCGGGCGCGCTTGCGCTCCTCCTTGCGCCGGGTCTTGGACGTGTGACGCGACGAGGTCGTCTTGCCGGTCTTGCCCGTGTTGCCCGTGTAGCGGGTGAACATGGAGCGGCCGGCCAGCGTGGACGCGTCCGTCGGCGCCAGGGAGACGTTGTCAGGGATGTCGACATTGCCATCCCCGCCGCCGCCCAGGGTGGGGTCGCCGCCGAAGTAGGCCAGCGGGTCCGTGGCGCGGCGGACGCGCAGTTCGCGGATCCGAGGCACCTGCGCGTTAAGCTGCGAGCGGAAGTCGGCCAGCAGGTCGGTCATGGCGCCCATGGCGTCCGAGAGCCCGCCGTCGACGATCTCCGGGATCAGCGCCTGCTGGCCGTGCAAGGCCAAAAGGCGCGTCGCCTCGGAGAACTTCGACCCGCGGCAGAGGAGGCGCGCCGCCGTAGGGATGTCGCGGAGGTGGTCGGCGTGGATCTGCGCCGCGGCAACGTAGTCCTTCATCTCTTCGGTGAGGGTGGCGGCCAGGCTGCTGGCGTGCGTGGCGAGTTCCTCGGCGGGGAGGGGCACCATCGTGGCGCAGTAGATGGACTCGCGCCAGAGGTGGGCCAGGTGGTAGCATTTGTATGCATCGGTGTAGAGCGAGAGGGATTCGTAGGCTGGTGAGGGGAGTTCGGTTAAATTCAGGAAAAGGGTCTGGGCTTGAGGGGTTTGTTTCACGTACCAATCCCTGCTTCCTTGTACTTGGACTGATCGAACAGGTGGTCAGCGTAGAGGTGACTCATGTCACGTAGTTGCTCGGCCTGGTATCTGTACAGATCGATGGCATCCTTATAGAGCGTGTGCTTGATGGCATAGGCACGGAGCTCGTCATGAGCGTTCAGTGCATGGAGGTGTTTCAGGGCTTTAGAAGTGCGTCCTAAGTAGTTATCGATCTCGAATTGGCGTCGGAGTTCGGGCATCTGTTGCAGCTTCCTCAGGAACGGAAGATACTCGCGGGGATCCTGCGTGCTGTTAGCTTATATCGTCATGAAGAGAATCCGGGGCACCGACTCTCTGGGCTTGTTGGGCAACAAGTAGGGTGAGTTCGAGGTCATAGAGGCCCAGTGCATTGTCGTACAGACGGTTGGCATCTGTCAAGAAGCACATATGCTCTACCGCGTCGTCGGCTTGTTCGGAACTTTCCTCTGCTATGTCGTCAGTATTTGCTCCAACAAGTGAGAAGAGCATTTTCCATACCTCTCAACCGCGCAACCAGCTGAAGACCGGCCTCGAGGTCAGGCGGAGACTTGCAGACGTGAGCAGTAATCAAATTGTGCAGGTTGGTATCCAATCGCTTTTCAAGAGTGGTCAGGAAAGCATCGCAAATCCGGTTAACTTTACTGCTCTTGCTAGAGGGAGCGGATAGAGCAGCAAGGGCGGGGTCTTCGGCCTTCTTCTTTAGCGTGTCTTTGTACAGCGTCTGCGACACATCCTCCTCACTAGACTAATTATTAATCGTATGCTTCGCGAAGTGACGTAGGGTTTCCATACCTCAAACGAGAGATAAACTCGTCGATAAAGTCGATTCTCTTGACCTGGTCAACGAAAAGTTGGATGCTCTCCATGAACTGCTCGGGTGCATAGTCATGAATGATGTTCATGTCCACCATTTGACTACGACAGGTCAGGAACGCTGCACGATAATTCTTGCGGTCAATGAACGACCGGATGCCGGCAAGCACGAGGGCCCGAGGGTATATGGTTTCGATGTTGCCGCGAGGCATCTGTAAAATGACAGCGAATGTCGAAGGCATAACCGTGACCAACCGTCCTCCGCGCTCGATGCTTCTGCAGCGTTCGTCCGTTTCCGGGGTATCAGGAGGTACATCCATTTCTAAGACATGGGCGTTAGTCATCGTATGGTGGGGATAAAGAGGGCTTTCAAACCTTCTGCTCTCCTCAGGTGGACGAATTTAATCAAGTGTAAGGAAGTGGTGAAGATGATATGAGCTTGTGTGAGAAGGAAGGAAGTGCAGTTCTTGGCAAGAAGGGTTTTGTTGGCATACAAAGCCCCCGACTTGGTCAGAGAGATAAGAAGAGTCTTGTAGAATATTAGTTATCAGGGATACATAGGATCTAAATGGTGGGTATACCTCATCTTCAGAGATCTGCACAGCTTGCGCCCAGTACGTCTCCGCAGAGGGACTTTGGCTCCATGGCATAACTTCGAACTGGTTTGGGGAGGGCATTGAGATGTAGGAGTAGGTGATCGGTTGGGTTGGTCCTAGAATGTGAGAGAACCAGAGCGATTCATGCCCGAGAGATGCGAACATTGACATGATTTGTTCCGAGTCAGCTGCTTGGTAGGCAACCTTAGTCTCCCGGGTCTCAAGCGTAGTCCGCTCTATGCAGGTGTTATTAGGCACACTGCTCTTGAGCACGAAGACTTCAGTCTCATTGATGAAAGCAATCTGGCGAGGTCGACTGTTCGGTGCATCTGAAAGTGGATAGCTGGACTCAAGTATGGGGACAGGGACTGGTCTAGTCTTGAGGGCCCAGATAAAGACAGAGAACCGATCGTTCTCGAGGATAGCAATGCGCGTTCCTGACTTGCTGAATGCCACGTCAATGATGTTCGAATCAAGTGTCAATTCATTGTGGGCCATAGGGGGCGGAACACCGGCCAGCCTCAAGGGAGTCAGCTTCAAGATTTCTGTCGTATGTCAGCAGCTTGAAGTCATAAATGCAGGGCAAGCACATACTCCCGTCTACAACACCGACGGCACCAACATCAGCCGGGCTTGTAGTGGAGCCATGGGCGACGTCAAACACAAACTCCACGTCCAACATTGATTCTACGCGGTGATTAGCATATGGTCATCCACGAGTGGGGGGCGTATCATACCAGAAGCGCCAGCAAAGAACCGCAAGGCCTTTTCTTGATGCCACGTGAAGGTGAAAGGACTGGCGTAACCGGAGTTACTAACGATAGGGATCTCCTGCTTCAAGTAGTAGTGGTAATTGCCCATTGTCCAGAATTGAACACGATCTCTGAGCTGAACAGCGAGAACAGTGGAGTCGACGTTCCAGCTCAGAGAGATATCCGAAGCCCATGCCGAGCGCTCTTCCTCTGTAAGACGGAGAGTGAACTCGCCGTGGCGCAAGCCGTTTCTCTCAAAGAACACCACATCGATTCTATCATCGCGTCTCTGGATGCCGGCGATAAGGTTACCATATGGCCTCCAGCTAAGGGCACCTTCCAGGCCATCGACTGGCTCACTGATACTATCTAAAGCACCCTCCCGTGAGTAGACCCGAATCGCGCGGCGTACGCCAGCCTCAACACTGTTCACAGCGACATAAGCACCATCTCCGCGCCAAGTGATGGTGGTTCTTCCGTCATCAGTGGCGCTCAACTTGCCTTCGTCCACTTTCTCTGGGATGGTAGGATCACGGAGAGCCTTGGCCCGTTTACCCTGGAATTGAGTCTCGCGCTTGCCCCAGCCCACGGAGACATGCTGGGAAGCTTTGAGATCTTCTTGTGTCAAGGTGATCTCGGCAACATTTTCAAACTCTCTAGTCATGTACAGGAAAGTGTTGGCTCGAGTAGTCAAGGCCAGAAGCTCCTCGTCAGGCGACCAAGCGGCGGCTGTGATACCAACATCAACCGAGCCGACAATCTCAATCTTGTCCTCGCCGGGGAGAGGCTCTTCGCGCACGATGACAATATCACCACCTTCCAGAACCAGGCAGGCAGTCAGGTTGTCTGCGAAGTAGTGGAGGGACAGTACGCGATCGCATTCCAGCTCGGGAAGCGGGCATGGCGCATCCCAGGATGCGATGCACTCGAATACATCGGCTCCGACAGGATCTGAGAAATGGGCGTCATGACGCTTCCTCCGCAGCTCGATAACTGCGTTATTTGCTGTAGGACCAAAGGTACAAACGACGGCGTCAGAAGCAGTATCCCAAGCTGTCGCTGTTAGAGGGAGCTCGTTCTGCAGTTGCACCTCAGCGAGGCGCACGGTTTTAAGGTTGCGCATCTTCGGAATAGCAAATCTTCTACCCCGCCGCCATTAATCGACGGCCGCTTGAAGATATTGATGATTCTTTTTGTTGCAAAAAAAAAAAAAAAAGACAAAAAAGAACAACCGACTGGAAATGAAAGAGTTTCAGACGGCCGTCATAGAATCTAGATCTAGACTAGACCAGAGAAAGAATGGTGTTCTGTTTCTGTTCTTGCGTTTGGGCGGCGGAGCGGTAGCGGCCACACCAATGAATCTCGACGATTTAATTTTCCCTTCCTAGACGGATTTCGACCAATGACTTCATCCATATTCTAATAAGGTATCAATCAGACAATCCACCGCCGGCACTGCACCAACAACCATGATGCCTCTTGCAATACTGGAGGCCCATAATCTAAGCAATTCTCTACGTGAAATTATGTAATTAATCCCAGAATTATAATTCTGAATCAAAACCGTGCTCAATTTCTCAACTTTATACACATTTCCGAAAACATCCGATCTAGGATACACACTCGACCGATCCCCCGAATCCCACCAGTTTCCGTTGCGCGTGCAGATTACACAGCACGATAGGGCGCTTAGCGGGTCTTGTAGGTCTGCCAAACTGTAGTAAGAGTTAGACGATTGCTGAAAGGACGTGCTTGTGGAGCAATGGGTGACATACCAGCAATACCGAAGGGAGCACCGAAGCCGGTGACTATTGAATGGAGTTAGTGAAATTGAACAATGAAAGTCGTTCTTATTCGGCGACAGGGGACTAACTCATGAAAGCCCAGTATCTCCAGAAGAAGTACTTGGTGAGGGGGTTGAAGGGAAGGTTGGAACGGGGACCCTCAGCGTAGTGGTAGGGGCTGCCGAGCTGGGCACGGGTGGTGGAAAAGCCACGACGGGCGACGAAGGAGGTGGCCATTCTGGCGCGGAGAGCGGAGGCGGCGTACATCTTTAGCAGTATTAGAGTCAGTTGTTCAAATGGCCACCAGAATTGTAGGCAATTACGCACTTTGAAAGAAATGGTAGAGCACGAGTGTCAGGGCAATCTTACTGGAATCATTCAATGGGCGGAGGAAGAGCTGGAGGAGTGGAACGATAACTCGCGGCAGCGCTCCGGAAGTGCAGTCACGTGAGTATTTCTCCAATCGGGTAAGTTTCACCGGCGGAGAGCAGCAGCTGCCCGCCCGCGGCTTTCATTGTGTTAACCAAAAATTTTGGGGCCGATCGCCTTAACCCAACTCTTCGTCTTGGAAGAGAAGAGAAGCGTCGCAAGTGTCCAGGTCAGTCTCCGGTCTTATTTTCGTTGATCGGTCCACCATGGATGAGCTTTTCGACGTCTTTGACGACCAGCCTCAGGCTGTCAAGCCGGCTGAGGGAGCACCTAAAAGATCAAAGAAAGACAAGAGCAAGAAACGGCAGGTCAATGGCGATGTCAAAGCAACCGCCGCCGCTACCGCCGCTACGGAGGATATCGACATCCCCGACGCCCCCGACGCCCCCGACGCCCAGGTCCCTGCCCCCGTGGACGAGAAGGAACCCGAATCAGAAGACGAGAAGGAAGCCAGCCCTTTTGCCGACTCCAATGACCAACCTGATGCGAAACGTCCGCGCCTCGCGACAAAGGAGGCCGAGCCTGTCTTGGTCGATTCATTCGAGACGGAGCAGGAGCGCGAAGTCGCTGGAGCCACCGGACTGCAAGCTTCGGCCGATTCTGCGTCATTGAAGTTGTCTCACCAAGTTCGACACCAGGTCGCCATTCCGCCGAATTATCCCTATGTGCCTATTTCCCAACACAAGCCGCCAGAGAATCCTGCCCGCGTATGGCCATTCACTCTCGATCCTTTCCAGCAAGTAGCTGTCGCATCCATCCAAAGAGAGGAGAGCGTGCTTGTCTCTGCCCATACCAGTGCTGGAAAGACCGTGGTCGCCGAGTACGCTATCGCGCAGAGCTTGAAGAACAACCAGAGAGTCATTTATACCAGTCCGATTAAGGCGCTGAGCAACCAAAAGTTCCGTGAATTCCAACAAGAGTTCGGCGATTGTGGTTTGATGACTGGAGATGTCACTATCAACCCTACCGCTACATGTTTGGTCATGACCACCGAGGTAAGCGCTCTTTGGCTGGGAAGGCATTCCGACGCAATTCGCGCTAACGCACCACATTTCCTAGATTCTACGTTCGATGCTCTATCGTGGCTCCGAGATCATGCGTGAAGTGGCTTGGGTCATCTTTGACGAGGTTCACTACATGCGCGATGCCAGTAAGTCTTACGGACCCGTTGCTTGCCTTCCTCTTGCATACGACTGACAACTCCACAGCCCGAGGTGTGGTCTGGGAGGAAACCATCATTCTTTTGCCCGATAAGGTTCGGTATGTCTTCTTGTCGGCGACAATTCCCAACGCCATGCAATTTGCGGAGTGGATCGTGAAGATGCACAACCAGCCCTGTCACGTTGTGTACACCGACTTCCGACCAACCCCGTTGCAACACTATTTCTACCCGGTCGGCTCTGAAGGATTGCATTTGATTGTCGATGAGAAGGGTGTCTTCCGCGAGGATAACTTCCAGAAGGCGATGAGCAGCATTGCTGATAAGAAGGGCGATGACCCTTCGGATGCCATGGCCAAGAGGAAAGGAAGGGGCAAAGACAAGCGCTTGAACAAAGGGGGCCAGAACGACGAGAAGAGCGATATGTACAAGATCGTTAAGATGATCATGCTTCGGAACCTCAACCCTGTTATCGTCTTCAGTTTCAGCAAGCGCGAGTGCGAGAACGGTGCTCTTCAGATGAAGAATCTGTCATTCAACGATCCATCAGAAAAGGAGATGGTCCAAACAGTTTTCGACAATGCTCTTAAGATGCTTTCGGAAGAGGATCGGAATCTGCCCCAGATTCAAAATCTCCTACCACTTCTGCGCCGTGGTATCGGTGTCCACCACTCTGGGCTGCTTCCCATTCTCAAAGAAACCATTGAGATTCTGTTCCAGGAAGGTCTTATCAAGGCTCTGTTTGCTACGGAGACCTTCTCCATTGGCCTGAACATGCCGGCAAAGACTGTTGTGTTCACCAGCGTAAGAAAATTTGACGGCTTCAGTCAACGCTGGGTTACTCCCTCAGAATTCATTCAGATGTCTGGTCGCGCTGGGCGAAGAGGTTTGGATGACCGTGGTATCGTGATCATGATGGTTGGAGAAGAGATGGACCCCGCGGTTGCAAAGGAGATCGTACGCGGCGAGCAGGACCGGCTGAACTCGGCTTTCCACCTGGGCTACAACATGATCCTCAATCTCATGCGTGTAGAAGGTATTTCGCCTGAGTTCATGCTCGAGAGATGTTTCTACCAGTTTCAAAACACGGCTGGTGTTGCTGAGCTTGAAAAGCGTAGGGTCAATCTACCCCGAACTGCTTACTATCATGCTAATTGATGTCACAGAGCTTGCGGAATATGAACAGAAGCGTGCGAACATGAAGATTGAAGACGAAGGCACCATCCGTGACTATTACGATTTGAGGAAACAGCTTCAGAAGTTCAACGATGAAATAAGGACAGTCTTTACCTATCCCGACTACTGCCTGCCATTTATCCAACCTGGTCGCTTGCTTCAGGTGAAGCATAAGGACAACGACTTCGGCTGGGGCATCGTTGTCAACAGCAAACAGCGCAAGGCGCCGAAAGGCTCGAGTGAAGAGTACACTCCTCACCAGTCACACGTTGTCGACGTTTTGCTCCAACTTCCCGATGGCAATTCTGTGGGCACTAAGACTTTCGAAGACATGCCAGCTGGAGTGCGGCCGCCTAAGGAGGGTGAGAAGACCTCCATGGAGGTCGTTCCAATTGTGCTTAGCTGCATTCAGGCCATCGGAAAACCGCGTGTCTTCCTCCAAAAAGACTTGAAGTCCAAAGACGCGCGGAATTCGATGAAGAAAACTCTTACTGAAATCCACAAGCGTTTCCCGGACGGCATCGCTACTATGGACCCGCTCGAGGACATGCAAATCAAAGATGATAATTTCAAGAAGACTCTTCGTGTGAGTAGACCTGTCCTTGACAAACTGTTTACATATCGCTAATCATCCAACAGAAAGTCGAAGTCCTGGAGTCTCGACTGTTCACCAACCCGTTGCACAACTCTCCCCGTCTAGCGGAATTGTACGATCAATATTCGGAGAAGGTGGAGCTGGGAAACAAGATTAAGGAGACGAAGAAGAAGATCTCCGACGCCATGTCTATCATGCAGCTCGATGAACTGAAATGTCGCAAGCGGGTCCTTCGTCGGTTCGGTTTCATCAATGAAGCCGAGGTCGTACAACTGAAGGCTAGAGTTGCGTGCGAAATCAGCACGGGTGACGAACTGATGCTGAGTGAGCTTCTTTTCAACGGTTTCTTCAACAAGCTTACGCCGGAGCAAGTCGCTGCCGTTCTGAGTGTCTTCGTGTTTGAGGAAAAGACCAAGGAGACCCCTGCTCTAACACGGGATGAGTTGGCCAAGCCCCTCAAAGAGATCCAAGCGCAGGCTCGGATCGTCGCCAAGGTCTCGCAGGAATCCAAGCTGGCCGTCAACGAGGAAGAATACGTCAACAGTTTCCACTGGGAGCTGATGGAGGTCATGTATGAGTGGGCGAACGGAAAGTCCTTCTCTGACATCTGGTAGGTTCCCTTCTCTTGCTCGTGAAAAGTTTTCCCGCAATGCTAACCTACCGTCTGCGCAGCCAAATGACCGATGTCTACGAGGGCAGCTTGATCCGAGTTTTCCGCCGACTGGAGGAGTGTATGCGCCAGATGGCGCAGGCAGCCAAGGTCATGGGCAGCGAAGAACTTGAGAGCACTTTCGAAACCGCCCTGACCAAGGTGCGTCGGGATATCGTCGCCGCTCAGTCCTTGTACCTATAAAGCACCATGCTATCGTTGTTTCACTTCGCCCCCCTCGATTGTGTCTTCTCTCGCTTCGACTTTGGTGGTTGGGCTATTTTTCTTTTTACCTTGGTGGTCGCATATCCGGCGTCAGGCTTCACAAAAAGGTTCATGTATGACTTTTTCTTGCCGTTTCCTGTTCCTCATATCGTTTTTATGTCTACATATTTCTCTCTGTAAATGAGGGTGTCATTTTTGTGCGACACCCGATTTTAGATGGCGCAGTGCTCTTCCAATCCCAGCAGGCCGTTTCCCAGTTGATCTTCGATCGACTCGATCTTTTTGCTTCTCGTCCTTTCAATCAATTGGAACTGTAGCCACGATCAAAATGGGGGACAGGTAGATCGGGTTGGGCTCTTTATGGAATTTGTGGGGTCCTTGGGGAAGCCGACGAAGCTCGTGAACGAATCATGGATCCGATGGCAGCAACAAAAACAAGCCCTCTTTGGCAGTGGGGAAGACAAAGGATACAGATGATCTAGTATGTCTATCAATAGTCTTTGCCCCACTGAGGGGATTTACACTTCTTTGAATGAGCGACAGCCGCTGCCAACCAAAAAAAGCCCCAGGAATAGCAGCAAATCTTCAACCAAGGAATGGGGACATTTCCGGGAAGCTAGATCGAGGGTTAAGTTACTGTTCTGAGACGGTAGGCAGCCATTGAGAGAGCCATGTGGAACCTTGTCCCTGCTGACGTACACGAACAGTGAACTATTCCTGTAACATCCATCGGGGTGTACTTTGCGCAATATGTTTCAGGTGCAGTCGAGATTCGAAGATCGAAAAGGACATCCTAGGTTCCTCACTTCGGACGCGGGGACGGGGATTGTCCAAACGATGATACATGTTGTTTGTGCTGTACATGTCGGCTAAGAGGGTCGCATGACTGTTTCATACTCGCTCTAACATGGAAAGGATTGTAGGAATTGGTCTACTTGCGGGATGATCCTGAGAGAGAAGGTCAGTGGGGGGGCAGGCAGGGCTGCTTGAAAGCGCCGATGGGTACGGAGATATCGATCTATGGGCGGAAACATCCCCCTTCTTTTTACCGCATACACAGTAAATTGTCATCCAAGTCTGGCCGATGACAATGTTTAGTGTTGTGCCATGAGTTTCTTTAGCGTTCCCTGACTCCGGTATCGGGTAGGCTAATCCTGAAATTGAAGTCTTACTGTTTCGCAAACAATTGAAGATGGGAGAGGGGGGGGGGGCAACCCCGCAAGGATGGTGGTAGATGTTGATGGTGAAGGTTTGGCGCAAGGTCGCTTGCTGCGTTGTGCTTTATCTAGTAGTTTCTAGTATCAGGCATGCAACTTATCTAAACCATCCACATCGAGAGTGCATTGCCTGTGTGAGGCTGACCTAAGTCCATGCTGGGGCTATATCTATCCGAGTTTCAGGATCACGACTGGAAATACAACATTGGCGGAGCGTTGATCTATTGGCGCTGCCGGGTGGTGGTGGCCTTGGTATTGCTGGTGGGGGAGGGGGGTTTGTTGGCGTGAGTGACGATGAATCAATCTACTTCGCCTAGATTGAATGGTTCGCTTGCGAGAGACAGGCCAATGTGTTTATAATGGCTAGGAGGACTCTTCGAGTACAGTACTTGCCTGGCTTGGTATCCTTAACGATGGTGGCAATGCTGTCATGGTCATATTCGCTCAGATGCGGTTGTATCTGAGTCAACCGGCGTGGTTAATTTCCGAGATGATCTAGATGTGAGACTGCTTTCAGACTATTGCAATCGTGCAGAGAGCAGTGCTGTATGGTTCATGTGGAATTCAAGTGCTTCTCTGAGAGAGGAAGGAAGGGGTTGCAAAGAGCGAAAAGAGAACTGAATCATGTCGGACAGTTTTTTTTTTTTTTCTCTTTTATTGTTTAGAGTTGACGCTTGGGAAGTTGTGGTCATGCGGCCGATGAGGACTAAAGTTATGCGAATGGATTGAGAGATTGCTGCTTTGCTGCAAGACCTCGGAAATTAAAATGATGTACGATTTTCTTGCCACGGGGCTGCGATGCGGATTCTTGCAGACGATGATGAGTTAATTGTTTTGTTCAAGGGCAGGAGGGAGATGGAGATGGTGGTAAGGTATCTGTATGGGTATAGTCGGAGGTAATCAGTGTCAGTGTCGACAGTAAGGATAACTTAGTGATAGAATAGAATCTCTGGTAAGAGAAAGTGCATTGAAGGCTTGCGTTGCCTCCCGCAACCCGTCCCGAGGCTCCACCGCCTCTCGCTCTTCTTTCTTTGCAGTGGTCTTTCTTTCTCTCTCTCTCTCTCTCTCTCTCTCTCTCTCTCTCTCTCTTTCCCCACTAAGGCAAACAGTCATTAAGTGAACGGGTGAAACTGCCTCTCTTTCCCTTTCTTAGTCTTTCTCCTCCTCCACTTCATTCCCATTCCTGCAACTCCACCACCAATTACTACCTTCACCACCACCACCACCACCACCACTACTACCACTACCTGACCATCTTTTCCTTCCCTTGCTTCTTCTTGCTTTTCTTTTTCTCTTTCCCACACTTTTCTCAAAACATTCCCCTCTCTTTCTCTCTCTCCCCTAGACATCTCCTCGTGCTCCTAGCTGACGGCCTTTCCGTCCCTCGTCCTCGTTTTCCCTCCGTTGGCTACGCTACGACCCTTCCTCTCCTTTTTCTCTTTTGCCCAACCTTAAGCGGTCGGTGGCCATCATCATGAACAGTCTGGTGGCTACACCACCTGTGCCTCCTCACCACTTCTACGAACCTTCTCGCCTCTCTCCTTCCCGTCCAAGTAAGATTAAGATTCCTTATCAGTCCTGCGAAATTGTTTTCCGTATACTGATTGTCCCGTCCCTTTAGTGTCTACCCCAACCCACACGCCCAACCGCAAACGGAAAGCCGATGATGATGGCAACGATCACGATGGCCGAATGTCCGCATCTCCCACCAACTCTCCCGCTTTCACTCCTCGAACCCTTCCATCCAACCGACACCATATCAAGCGTGCTCGTCCAAATGTCAGCGGGCGGCCTTTGTCCCTGCCCCGCTTGCTAGAGACCTTGGACACCGATGCACTCCGGGGCGTTCTCCGCTCCATGTGTGAGCGTCATCCGGCCTTGATGGATGAGGTCATTCATACTGCTCCGCGACCCAGCGTAGCATCCGCACTCCAGGTGCTTCGGCACTATCAGTCCAACCTTCAGTCATCATTCCCGTTGGGCGGCAGCTCTGAATCAGATTACGCCTACAACCGAGTCCGGCAGCCGTTGGGGAGTTTGTTGGATGCTCTCAGTGACTTCACACCACATTTTCTTCCGCCAAACGAAACACAAGCCTCCGTCTCTTTGAGCTATTTAGATGAGGCAACCGACATAATCCACGCTTTGCCCCGGTGGCACACACCCCAAAACAATCTAGAGCGGGACTCTGCGTACGACGAGATTTGCAAGGCCTGGATCTTGGTGATTCGGGAGGCTGCCAAACGTGGCGGTGGAATTCAGTTACAGTATGGTGGTTGGGATCAGAAACTGGCAAAACACAACCAAAACTCCGGCGGTAAACTGCAGGCAGCCGTCAACGAGCTCGGTTCCAGCTTAGGGTGGATGCACAGACCGGATGCCCAAGGCTATGGAAGCCCTGGAGGTAATGACCTTGGATCCATTCGTGAGCAACTCTTGTCGGGCACATACGGGCTCGGCACCCCGGTCAAGGTTGGGCCATGGTAATACCGCCAAAAATTGACTGTCAGCTTCATCTCCTCGCATCTTCTTCGTCCCTCCGACCTACTCCAAAAAATAACATCCTTCACGACACTTCTTCTATCGCCCTCCTAATCCAGAGCTAGTGTCCGAAACCTCGACCGTGCAATGTCCACGTATGATACGATCACGATACTTTATCGCATGAAACTAGAGTTGAGGGTCAGCTTGGCGTTTTGCAGTGTGCAAGCAAACACTTTTTCTTTCTTTTGCTTTAATGTGTCATACTTTGGGAAGCCGCTGCCTTCATCGCCTACTCTCGATCTAGATTGCCAGCTTTCAGGCCCCGGGTTCAATTCTTTTTCTTTGTGTTCAACATGTTCCATGCGTCCAGATCCTCCTTGCATTGATACAGTCCGGCATGGTTTTCTCTCTTTTCTTCGCACATTGGCTTCTTCATTCCTTTCCTGCATCCATGCGACTTCTTTGCATTCATCTTATCATATCACGACGAAGCTTCAAACATTCCCGTTGACCCATTAACACACGTTGTTGTCGTCCCACAATCCTGTATACCCTTTTATTCAATTATGTTCCCTCAACTAATATCATCCTACCGGTGTCTGGCTTATTATTGGGGTTTTGCAAGGAGGCTTTCTCTACATTTTCTGCCGACTTCCGCGGGCCAAGTTCTACGTGTCAATCTAAACTAAGAAGCAACAAAGAGCATTCGTTTTAGCAGTGGTGGAGGCTTGTACAGTTCACTAGGAGCGAATTGGGCGATTTTCAATGCAAATGCAGGGGTTGGGCTCTATCCATCAGTCCTAACTGGTTAGTCGATGTATCTTACGAGCAAAACCACAAATCTTGAGCTGCGTGCAGTGCCCAGGTAGCAGACACAAAATTGAAGCTCAATGGTTCTAGCCGTTCAGATGTATGGCATTTCTGTCTTCGCTAAGTCACTAGAGAAAAAGGTATCCAGCGTTGATAAATAAAAACCTTCCATCGAACACGCATGTGTAGCTCCCTGAGGTCCCCTGCTATATGTATGTCCAGGTTGTTTCCGGTAGTGCCTCGTAGGTAAGTGAGCCTCGCTCCTCCTAATGCAGTATCATATGCGGGGACACACTGTACAGCTCACACCAGCGTCATCGACAATCCAATGACGCAGCAATGAGATCCTCGTAGACAAAGAACATCTCTCTGTGCATTTATACGTGTCCCGCCCCGTGGCTGTGCCGTACATAGCAGGAAGGAGTAGGGAGAGAGCCCTAGGGAGGGGACAATATCATGTAGATCCCGCAGGGTACAGTACAGTACACGGGTACAGTACATACACAAACAGGGGTGCACACAGCATACGGGCTGCTTCTTTTTTATTATTTGGGAGGTTTTGCTCTCCACCCCCGACAAAGGAATGGAAAGGAAAAAGAACTCAAGACAGCGCACGTTTCACAGCCCGGAACAGCCAGCTTGCATCGCCCCAGCCGCCTTGGTCTCCTGGCTTCTCACAGACCGAAAGGACTTCTGACTCGGCGACTGACATCGTGTCGGTGTCATCTGCTGCGATTGATGGTGAGGTTGTTGTTGTTGATGATGATGCTGCCGCTGCTGCTTCTGCTGCTGCTGCTGCTGCTGCTACATGGGTAGATGAGGTGTCGTTTTCAGGATTGTCAGGACGGTGGTCTGCGATGGTGATGGTTCGGGATTCGACTACAGTGTTGTTGTTGTTGTTGTTGTCGCCGCCACCGGCACCACCAGCAAAGGAGAGCGGCCAGTCCTCGACGCCGAATAGGGTCCATTCGACCATGCGGTCAATCCAGCTGCCGAGTCCGAAGCCTCGTTCCCGCGTGAGGCGTTGCAGTTCTTGCTCGTCGATCTCGTCGGACTCGTCGCCCGAGTCGAGGTACGGGTAGTCGGAGGTGAAGGAGGAGAGGTCGTCCTCTCCCTCTTCCTCGTCGAATGCGGCGTTCTCGTCGCGTTGGATGGACGCCATCTCGGCGCGGATGCGCTCGTCGACGAAGTCGGGGATGAAGTGGCGGGTCTGTTGTTGCTGCTGTTGCTCCTCGGTCTTCTGCGTGCTGCTATTGGTGCTGGTGCTGGTGCTGGTCTGAAGCTCGGCCGTTCTGCTTTCGCGGCGGGAGGAGGCTGTGGTCGATGTTGCAGTGGTGGTCATGCCGAGGCTGGTCATGGCGAGGTCTGCTCTACTGGCCACCCGGCTGCTGGGGCGGGACCGTGAAGCCCGTCTGGAGCGGGAGTTGGCCGCGGCTGGAGTGGAACGTCCGGACCGGCCATGTCGAGGACTACCCCCATGGGACCAGCTGGGATGGTGGTGGCGGTTGTGGTTGTGGTTGTGGTTGAAGAAGTCCAGGCTGAGTTGATGGTCGTCAGAGACGAGGCTCGTCGAGCTCTGTCGTTTCACGAGCCAGCTCTGGCCCTTTTCTTCGCGGGTCGAGGACGCGAGTGCGATGCCGGCGCGGAGCATCCATTCTGTGTCTTGATGGTGGTTTGCCGGGTGACGGGTACGGGTGCTATGGTTGGTGTGGTGAGGCTGGTGAGGTTGGTGCTGATGATGGTGATGGTGGAGGGGGCTGCTCGCACCCCGGGCTTGCAGGTTGGGGTCACTGGCGTGGTGGATGCGGCTGGAGCTCTTGCTCCGGGGATAGTGTCGCGTGCGGGACCCGCTGCGGGAGTGGGAGTGCGAAAGCACCCCCGGAGTGCCGGGCACGGAGAAGCTAGCCAAATAAGACCTTGCGGTGGGCGGGTCCGGGCTGTCGTGGTGATTGTGGTGGGGATGGTCGAAGTAGTCTGGAACCTCTGCCTCCTCCTCCCCCCCGTCGGCGAGAAATCGTGGGTTCAGTGGAGCGAGAGAGACATGGTGCAGGGAAGGATACGATCGTCGCGATCGAAAGGCGCTCTGAATTGGTGGTTGTGTGGGGACCTGGGTTTGCTATAGTAGGTGATAGTGTTTGATGAGCATAGTGTAGGAAGGAGAAGGGGGTGGAGTACTCCGTAGATTGCATCTCGAAGTAACTATATAGTTAGAGTGCTTACCTCCATCTGGCAGGATCCGATCGATTGGATCGGAGATAAATTGAGGGACTGGGGGAAGAACGTGACTCAAATGACTAATGTGGAGAGAGCGAGAGAGCGAGAGAGAGAGAAAGAGAGAGAAACGAAGGAATCGGAGTTGGAAGGGAGCAAATGGAGTCCTTAAGAGGAAACTGTCGGCTCTCGCAGACTGCAATTAGCCTTGGCCCGCGCATGTGAAAATGCGGGCAGGACACTGAGATTGACAGGACAATGGCACCACCATCAATAACCATCATGCATCTATCACTCCATCCTTCAATCAGTCGATCCGACTTCAGATGGACCGAGATCAGCACTCGGGATTCAAATCATGGAATCGACGACCGTGTGCCTCAGTATAAAGACCTTAACTGGCTGGATCGGAATGGTAAAACCGCGTTTGGCTGGGAATCGGTGCTCGAGGTCGGTGGTGAGGCGAAAGTCAATCCATGACCCTATTACTAACCTAGTGACAGTTGTAACTCTTTCTATTTTTATACAGGGAAGCTACTAACTAATCTACAGATTAGATCGTTAGATCGTTAGATCGCAACAGCTGGGAGGATTCTATGTATGAGTACTGTAGTAGTAGTTATAGTGTTGTTAGGGGAATATTGGTTCTACAGAGCTAGTGATTCATAGGCAGTACCACCTCCATTGCTTCATGTGCTTGCTTGCTTGCTTCACCATCAGCTCCTGACCAAGTCACTTGAACCATCGTGTGCTATGTGGTCAACCTCGTACAGTACCTCGTACAGATAACATGGTTACTGTAGGGGAAGATTATTCATGGTGACGACGACGAATGCCACACCGCCCTGGCGAGGCACGATCCGCCCTCCGTCGGCTTGCTTGTCCATCTCCAACATCCTTCCTTCATCTTTCATCATTCATCATTCATCATTCATCATTCATTCTCTTTGAGCTGAGTTGACCTTACGTCTTTCCTTGGAGCTCAAGCGCTCGTATACCTATTTGCCTTCCCTTTCCTCATTTTGCTGGTGTTCTTAGCCCCCTTCAGCCTCCTTCAATCCTGTAGCAATCACCTATCTCTTACCTTGTCTGCCCAGGCGCCTATCTGGCCCCCGTTTCTTATCGTGACACCGAGCTTAGTTCACCAACCACCACCTCCACCACCACCAGCTCCGTCATGACGGACGAGGCAGCCAGGCCTCTGTTGGACGGTGATTCTAGGCCAGGCTCACCTCATCCATTTTCTTCACCCAAGGATGGAAAGACACCTTCGCTCACTTATCAGGAGCCTCGACCGTTTGAATTGTCCGATGAATCCGCTCCGCTTCTAGTTCGTCGGGGTGACGATGAGTTTCTGGGGTACGGCGGGACCGACCCCAGACAACGAGGTGCTTCCGATCTGTCGCGCCGCTCCCTCTCCTCTGACCCCTCCTTAAAGAAACGACGGGGCAAAATCCGATGGCCCATTTTCTGTGCCGTGATCTCAATCCTTGCAGTCGCTGCTATACTAGTCTTTGCTTTTATTGCCCCAGCAGCTGTGAAGGAGTACGTGAAAGATGCAACGGTCTTCAACCCCACCAATGTGTCAATTGCATCAACGACCGCCACGGGAGTCCGTGCTCGTATACAAGGGAACCTGATCCTTGATGCAGAGCGCATCAGAAAGAGGCCGGTACGGGATCTAGGTCGTTTCGTCACCTGGATTGGAAGAGAGGTCGAGACCGGAGAGTCCGAGGTGGAAGTATATCTACCCGAGTACGGCAATGTCCTCGTCGGCACCGCCTCTCTGCCCCCACTCAACATCAATATCCAGAACGGCCATGTCAATCATGTCGATTTCATTGCAGATCTGGTGGCAGGCGACGTTCAAGGCATTCGCTCAGTAGCCCTGGACTGGCTAGACGGCAGACTCGGCCACGTTCGTGTAGATGGCAGAGCAACAATGCACCTCCAATCGGGCTTGTTGGACCTGGGCACACAGACGATCACTGACTCGATTGTTCTGCAAGGTATGTATTGTGGCGTGAAAATCTCTCTCTTCCCCAGCGGGCTAACCCAATCGACAGAGGGCGACATTCCCCCGGTGCCCATGGTCAACGTGACCAATCTCAACGTTCGCGATGCGGACACCCCTGGAGATGAAGGAGCAATGGTCGTGGACGCATCCGTTGCCGCTATGGTTCAATCCCCTTTCTCCCTCAGCATCCCTCCGCTCGGCTTCACAGTCCTGGTGCCCAATTGCTCACCAGGGGACCCATACATCACAGTGGCCGAGGCCATGACCGAGGGATTCCCGGTCACTCCCGGCGAACCAACCCTGGTTAATGCCAGCGCTCTCATTCGAGGGCTTTCGGACGACTTGACGAAAAATTGCCCAGGAGAAAAGAGCTCCCCGCTTGATTTTCTAGTCAAAAGCTACGTTCATGGTCTTGGAACAACCGTCTACGTCCGTGGAGCTGACGCGCCCTCCTTGGATACTCCGGACTGGATTGTGGACGTACTCAAAAGTGTCACGGTACCGTTCCAGTTTACTGGCCATACCCTGGATAACCTTGTCCGCAATTTCACTATGTCGGATGTGCACTTCAGCTTGCCTGACCCTCTGGCAGAGCCGGACTCACCCGAATCCCGTCCAACAGTCTCTGCTCTGGTGAATGTCTTAATCGGGCTACCGAAGGAGGTTGGACTCGAGTTCGATGTGCCCCGGGTTCGGGCCGATGCTGATGTTTTTTACCTCAACCGCAAAGTTGGATTCTTGGATCTCAAAAAATGGCAGCCAGCCAACTCAACCTTGCTTGAAGATGTCGACGGCACTCCGGCAGTGTTGATTGACTTTGCCATCAAGAATGCCCCGCTGAGGGTTACTGACGACAATGTTCTCACGGACCTTCTCCAAGATCTCATCTTTTCTGGTAAAACGATTAAGCTGAACGTGACAGCCAATGTAGACGCGGAAGTATCCACGGGGCTCGGCATCCTGACGGTCCGCGAGATACCAGCCGAAGGAGAGGTCATCGTCAAGCGTTAGTCGCTTAGCTGCTCTGCACCATGAGGCTACTATCCAAACTGACTATTACTTAGCCCCGTACGGTGGCTCACTCGATGAATTCAAGCCACAGATTGAGTCGCTCAAATTAAGCGACACGAGTGCGTCGTCACTACTCGTGGAAACGGAAGTCAATATTACGAATCCTACGCCGTATGCTGCTTCGATACCCTTGATAGATTTCGTAATGTTCTACAATGGCTCAAGAGTAGCCCACCTGACGGCGAAGAACGCTCAAATCACCCCCGGATTGAACAATGGCCTTCACGTGGACCTTGTATGGAGCCCTCTCAGCTTCGATGGCCCATCTGGTGCCACCGCTGGGCGGGACCTGTTGTCCCAATATATCTCAGGTAAGCTGAATCGACAACACTGCAGCCGTTTTGGTACCTGATTTGTACTGCTGTAGGGTCGAACACTACCGTTACCATACGGACACACGAGAAGAGTATTCCCGCACTACCAGGGCTAGGACGGGCGCTTTCAAGACTGAGTCTGGACGTGCAGATTCCTCGTATCCCTGTCCCTCAGGCACCGGGACACGAGCCTGATGCGGGCAACGGGTCTATGGGATTCATACAGGGAGCTACGGTATTTTCTACTTTCATGGACCTCGTCCTTTTGTTATGACGATGATGACATTGGATGCCATGTAACCCTTGATGTACTATGTCATCATCGCGCCAACTCACATCGGCTTGATGAAACTGACTAATGCGATCCGGGTGCTATTAGATGCACTTGTGGTCATCGACGGCCGAGTTCACACTGTCTTCGCCGTTCCCCAACACAACAATTGAGATTACTTCGATAGATGCTCAGGCGTTCTACCAAGCAGAGAGCGAGGAGGCAGAAGTCGGCTCCATCGACTACCGGATTCCGTTTCCGGTCCCTCCAGGCCTATCTGTGACTCCGCGATTGCCAGTAGATTTGAAGCTGGGCGGAATTGGCTACGATGCGTTGAGACGAGCCCTTGGCGGCTCTCTCCAGCTAGACGCCGTCGCGAAGGTCGGCGTGCAGATCCAGCATTATAGAGACTGGGTGGTGTATCATGGCAAGGGCATCAAAGCAAAGGTAAAGCTCTGATTTGGGTTTTTTTGGGCCACCGAGCCAAGTCGGAGTTTGGGATTCAGGAGTTTCTCTTTCGGCATAGAAGTTTTGGTTTGGCACGATGCTGGAATGCTTTTCAGGTCGCAAAAAGAACATGTCAATGGCGCTTTGCCACTAGTCTACTCTCATATCACAAGAATAGCAACTTTCCGATAGCTTACCGTAGGCCATGCGCAAGAAAGTGGCGCCGTGCCTCGGCTACCTAATGACTATCTACTAAGTAACTGATCGCATCTACTTCACTCGATGACTCATAGCCCGACGAGTAGGAAAACCCAGTCGAATAGTTTTTATGCCGTAGCATTTGGGAAAGATACCTAGCACAAGCAAAATGGCCAATTTACAGGGAGCGCAGTCTGCTTAGAGATAGAGAGAAAAGAATACAGCTTGTTATTTTTCATTGCAGGATATTCGACGTTGGATATTAGAGGAAGGACAATGTTTAACCAGGGGGAAGGGTGCTAGCGTCGACAACATCGGCGGCATCCTTCTCGAGTTCCTCGGTAGGCTCAAAGAGAGGAGAACGGGGCAGGGCCATGAGACCGGTGCGAGTGGATTCGAGGACACCGAAGGGAGCGATGAGCTTCATGAAGGAGTCGATACGGGAAGGCTTAGCCGAACTGGTTTGTTTTGAGTCGGATATTAGTTTGCCAGTCGACTTTGAACGGGAAAGAAGACCCCCACAGAACCAAAGGGGAACGAATTACTCACACTTCGACAATGCAGTTGTTGGTACTGATATCCAGCACCTTACCCCCGAACTGGTGAGTCAGGCGGGTGATGGCGTCGAGATGCTCGTGCTTGTGGCGGAGGGCCTGGCTGTGCGGCAGGTTGCGCGGGTGGAACTCGGTCTTCGCGATCTGCTGCTTGGCGTCGCTCTGGCCCGGCTCGCCGGGGGTGGTGATCTCGCGGTGGTGCTGGAGCAGCTCCTCGAAGAATTCGGGGCCGAGAATGCTGACCTTGGCGAGGAGGAGCTCGCGCTGCACGAGCGCCGAGTCGGTGTAGTCCAGCACGGCCCAGACGGGGACCAGGTCGTCCAGCTGGCGGCGGGCCTGCTCGACGACGCCGTCCTGGCCCTGCAGGACGATGGTCATGCGGGACAGATCCTCGACCTCGGTGTTGCAGACGACCAGGCTGTCGATGTTGAAGCCCCGGGCCGCCAGGATCCCCGACACGCGGGACAGCACGCCGGGCTCGTTCTGCACCAGACAGTTCAGGATGTGGCGCTTGGGCGGGTTCGTCGGCACCGAGGGCGTCTCGTACAGGATCGACGAGACCGCCGTGGGCGCGTCCCACTGCGGCGACGCATCGTTGACGGGCAAGGGGAGGGGAGAGCGGCGGTGCAGCGCCTTGTAGGCGAGCGCGGAGGTGGAGCTGGACGAGGCCCGGAGGGAGGAGGAAGTCGTTGTGAATCGCGGAAGCGTAGCGGCCAGGCGCGAGGTGCGGCTGGCCACAGCGAGGAAGGGCGTCGTTGACGCTGTCGCAGACAGCATCACGGGGCGCCGGAATGCCATGATCGCCTGAGAGGGGGGGTAAAACAGGCTTCCAAGGGGGAGGGCGAGGATGCAAAACCGGGGGATTCGTGAATTTAAGTTTCGCAGTCATCGATGGGCAATTGGCATTTTATGTCGGGGCCGCCTTCCGACCTCGGGGTTGCTGACTCAGTCCTCCGTCCGCCGGTCGCTGCGCGGCGCTCAGCTGGGGGCCCTGGGCTTTCCAACTGTCTTACCGCTTTGGGAATTAGTTCTGCCCCCGGCCCAGACTCTCATCACATGATCTGCATCTTTCCCCGTTGGGATCTCTTCTCCTTCTTACTTCCTTCACTCTAGTCCGTACTCCGTAACTCTCCACATCTTTTGGATCAGTGGCTGATGATAGTAGCTTTGATTGATGATCACTGACTTCGCTCTTGTGCTCTGTGTGATCTACAGTTCGTGTACGACTCAGATGTTGTGCTGAGAAGATCTCAGGCATCACACCTACTACGTGAGTTACTCTTCACCTGTAACTTACTCCTACTCCGAACAGTGACTACTGACTGACACTAATCTACGGAACTAGTCTAAGTTACTCTAAAGCACACCCACTTAGCTTAGCGTCCACCAACTGGACGTTCTCCTGCTCGTCTGCAACTCCACCGCCTCCCGGGAAAGTCCTTCGCAAACCAAGACTTCCCAGTAACCTTGCTTTTGGGCCCTATTTTAGCCTTCTTCTCGCTGGCTTCTTATTACTTCCTTGACGTCTCTCCTCATTCCATTCGTCGCGCCCCCTCTTCAAATTTCCTCATTATCTATTTTTCTCTTTTTCTTTCTCCCGCCTGTGAACCACTGTAACCCTCATGGAAGAACACCGCCCCAAACGTTCTCGCTTCGATCAGACCGAGCCTGATTCGCGGCGCCCGTCTCGCTTCGACCGTCGCTCTCGGTCTCCGTCGTCGCGACAAACCGATTCTGCTCGAGCCCGCAGCCCCCTTAGTCGAGAGCCTCGCAGTCCCAGCGCAGACCCTGCGAAGAAATCCGATCCTGCTGCCGCCGCTGGTATGTTCGCAAGTTGTCTGGCGGTGGAATCGCACAGTGCTGACATGGTTCGATACAGCCGCCGCTGCGGCCAAGATCAACGCCCAGTTGCAAGCGAAGAAAGGAATTCAGCATGTCGACGTTCCCCCAATTCGCTCGGTAAGCATACTCAGACTCCATCGGTCGCATACCATCAGCGAAGGAATCGTCACACTGACCTGACCCCCGCTTGATTAGTCCGGAAGTCCTATGCCCAAGTCTGGTTCGCCTGGGGACGTCGATGCCTCAGGAAAGCTGAACGCCGAAATCTACGTTGCCGACGGAGACTATATCAAGGACATCGAAATCAATGATTTGCGCAACCGCTACACGCTGACCAAAGGCTCTACTCAGAAGATGGTAATTACTCCTGTTGCACCTGCTGATCTTCCAGGCATCTTGTTCGCTGGCTGGCTGGCTGGCTGGCTGGCTGGCCGGCCGGTCAGCCGGCGGTCATGCGTTCTCCTCCCTTTGACCCTCTGTGCCTCCGTGTTTTATGACTGTGACTAAAAACTTACCCAAGTCAAACGACCTTCTACACAGCATCTCACTTCCCCTCTTTTGCATCTGCTGACCTCCACTGCGTGACATCTAGATCAAGGAAGAAACTGGCGCCGGTACGCCTCCATCTCATACTTTTATCAACTGTTGACTGCTCAAGAAGGAAGCTCACGATTGATTCTTTTTTCAAGATGTCACTACCCGAGGAAACTACTATCCCGATAAGAGCATGGCCACGGCCGCGGTATGTTTCGCCCTTTTTCCGCCCCTAAGAATCATGAAATCTGACATTCTCGATGCGTATGATAGAACCCTCCGCTTTATCTTCACGTCACGAGCACGAATAAGGAAGGCCTCGAGAAGGCCGTCGCCCTGATCGATGAGCTTATGCAGAAGGAGCTTCCCAACCTGGTCGATGAGCGACGATTCCGCCGACGAGAGCCGGAGCAGGTAGAGCGTGATGAGTTCGGTCGCGTATGAGATATATCCAAAGGTCCACATCTGCTTCGAAGCTAATGGTGTACAGCGGAAATGGCCCGAGGAACGCATCCCGGTTGACCTCGAACCCATCCCAGGTTTCAACCTCCGAGCTCAGGTCGTTGGCCAAGGCGGCGCATACGTCAAGCACATTCAGTCGAAGACTCGTTGCAAGGTCCAGATCAAGGGCCGTGGCTCAGGCTTTATGGAACCCAGCACAGGCCGCGAGAGCGACGAGCCGATGTTTTTGCACGTCGCGTGAGTAGTAACAACTTTCCTCAGTCCCTTCACCACCACTTACTGGTATCACAGTGGCCCCGACCCCAATGACGTCCAGAGTGCCAAAGAGCTATGTGAGGACCTCCTTGCCAACGTCCGTGAGCAATACCAGCGCTTCAAGGAGAACCCGCCCCAGCACAGTTACGGCGGTTATGGTCAGCGTGGTGGCGACCGCTATCACGGAGGAGGCTATGGCGGCGGCGGTGGCGGCGGCGGAGGCTATGGCGGGGGCTATGGAAACCACCATCACAGCAGAGACAACAACAGCCACAACTCTCCGTCTGCATCGGCGAGCCCATCCACACAGGGTGCCCTAGGGGCCTCGGGATCGGGCACTCCCAGCGCAGCGGACTACAGCGCCCAGTACGCCCAGTATTATGGATCGGATCCGTATGCAGCCTACGGTGGGTACCAAAACTATGTCGCCTACTACCAGTACTACCAGCAGGCCGCTGCTCAGCAGCAACAGCAGCAACAGTCCCAGAGCCCTGCTCCTCCCCCGCCTCCTCCTGCCGCCGAGGCTCCTCCTCCCCCGCCCCCGGGCTCTGGCTCTCCCCCACCCCCTCCGCCCCCAGGCGGCAGCTATAGTGCAGTAAGTGGTTACCCTCTGACGGATCTGACAGATTGACATACTGACCCTTCGATCCATCCTGATAGGTCCCGCCTCCCCCAGGATTGTAATTCTATAGCTACGCACTTGAAAAGCGTCCTAACAATCCCGTATACTACAGAGCCAGTCTGATAATCACCACACTCAGAACGTGCATTGAAGGAAACTACTACAGTCATTTTAGCTGCTTACTTACCTACCCAATCAGCGCCTGCATCACGCCGATATCTATCTGGCTTCTAAAACTGTCCGACTGACTGATTTGCTTGGCTAGTATTTGTAGTATTTGATTTGTTTCGCTTAACCTCCCTGGTTTGCCCTATTGGGTCACTTGGTGGTGGTGCTGGTGCTGCTACTCAACTTCTGTAGAGAGCCCCCAACCGAAAACTATAGTCCCAGAGGTGTCCTACGATGCATGACCAATTCTTGTTGACTTAGAAAAAGCTTATCCTATATTGATTTCTAGCCACTATAGCTCTCCGTCTTAAACATCTCGACATGGTGATGGCCGATAAATTAGGAACGCGAACCATACGCACGCTGTGTGTGCCTTAGGTGATTCGAGGAGTTCCGGTGTCGCAAGGCGCAGCGCAACAGATGAATTCGTCACTGATTCCTCATCCATGCCGATCTACTGGATATAAGCTTGAGGCTTGCGTCGTTCAACAATTAGATATGGCAATAAACAGATTCTAGAGAGCTCCAAGGCAGCGTAATGATTACGCTATGTTCCCTAGGCGACGTGGTCGGGAGCGTTTCTAGAGATCGCCTCCCAAATCTCGATACCCCGGGAACATCTCCGGGAACATCTTCTGCATGTACCAGGGGACGTTCATATCGACGAAGTCGTCCGCGTGGCTTTCCGGCGCCATTCTCGCCTTCCGTCTCGCTATCCCTTGCGAGCCCTCCTTGCAGAAGTCGCACGCAAAGTCGCAAGGGGAGGCGGTCGGGTTCATCGTCTGGGTCGAACTGGGGGCCTGCGAGCCCATCTTCTCGAGCTCGAGGTCCCCGAAAAAATCCTTGATCATCTCGTGGCGGCACCGGGCGATGGTCTCGCAGTAGCCGATGACCTTCTGGAAGCTGGCCAGCCGGGCGAACTGGTTCTGGACCGTCGAGTTGGTTCGGTTGCTTTTGGTGGTATTGTTGTTGCCGCTGCCGATCGGCCCGCCGCTGCGGTTGCGGGCATTCTCGACGTCGCGCTGCAGCCGGTCGAGGATTCGGTCCCGTTCCTGGGTATTGTAGTAGACGATCGAGGCGGCGGCCCGGCCGTCGCGACCGGCGCGCCCGGATTCCTGGACGAAGCCCTCAAAGCTGCGCGGGGGGCTCCAGTGGATGACGAACCGCACGTGCGGGCTATCGATGCCCATGCCGAAGGCGGTGGTTGCGACGATGATGTAGAAGGCCGGCTGGCTCGGGGGCGGCTTCCCGGCTTCCCGGTCGTTGTCGTCGCGGGATCGAGAAACAGGCTGGGTGGATGTCCATTCGGTCTGGATGCGGGTTCGCTCCTCCGACGAGAGACCGGCGTGGTAGGCTACGGCATGGATGCGGCCGTCCCAGGCTCGGGAGAGCGCGCTCGCGAGCTTGTCCGAGACAGCCCGGAGGGGTACGTAGATGATCCCCGACACCGGGGGTAGCTTCGCAGCCTCCTCCGCGCCCAATCGCGCCTCCCGGCGGTTCTGTACGGCCTGCAGCCATGCCACAAAGTCCCGGATTTGGAAGTCTTCCGGCTCGGTCGGATCGCTCGCAAAGTCATCCAGGTACCGGACCTCGTAGTGGATGTTGGGGCGGGCGGAGGGGGTGTTGAAGATGCGGAGCCGGAGCGGATCCAAGCCCAGGAGCTTGATGATGTCGGCGCGGACACGCGGGGTGGCCGTCGCCGTTAGAGCACTGATCGGGACGGGCGGGTTGGACAGGGCACGTCGAAACCAGCCGAGTTCCTTGTAGGCCGGGCGGAAGTCGTGGCCCCATTCGCTGATGCAATGGGCTTCGTCGATGGCAATGCGGATCAGCTCCCCCTGGGAGTGGATCGTCTGGAGATTGCGCCGGAAGGTCTCGGTCTGGCAGAGCTCTGGCGTCACATACAGGAGGCGAGTCCTCGGATGGCCGGAGAGAAGGTCGTCCAGGATGACTCGTCTTTCGGAGATCGGCGTCGTGGAGTTGATGGTTGCTACTGCGACTCCAATGGCTTGTAGTGCCTTGACCTGATCTGTCTGCACACCACCTGCGTAAATGGGACTGTGGCTAATACGGAAATCCTCGAGAGGCTTACCATAAGCGCCAGCAGTGGACAGATAACAACAGTCACTGTGCAAAACGGCAGAAAATCAGTCAACCGGGTTTGGGGCGCGATTACGGCAGCAGGCTAAGCAAAGTGACAGTCCAGGGAAGAATGGCGATGGGCCAACCAACCTCCATGGCTGGTTACTGCTGGGAGTTGGAAGCATAGGCTCTTTCCAAACGACGTATTGGCTTGTAGAAACACATCGTGGCCTTCCACAGCGGCCGTGATCACATCGCGTTGCAGTGGTCTGCTCGTCCCAGGTTAGCGGATCTATCATTGAAAGAGAGGAAGACATAGCACAACGTACCTGAAAGAGTTTTTATGGAACACACGGCGCAGATAGAAGTCTAGGTCCACTTTACGGCGCTGCAGACCTCCGCTGACCATATTCGCAGCATCCCAAATAGTATGGAAAACGAGAGTTGGGGGATGGGGTGAGTTGGGTTGGGAAGTTCTCGCGGGAAGCGCGACGCGGTGTTGGAGGAAAGAAAGCGAACACGATACCACGTGATCCAGTATAGTGGAATTGCCCTCGGATGGAGATAAGAAGAACTTAGGAGCAAGTGCAGAGTTCATGTGGAATAAATAATTTTTTATCTTCATTGAATGATGGTACAGACAACTCCACTGACCTAAGCTCGTATGACCGCTGTACAGAACAAGAACACGCCAATGTTGAATCCATCGCTGTGTTCGCAACCAATCTCTACCTGAGGGTATATCTATCTATCAGGTCTATATAATAATGTACACGCACCTTGGAAAAAGGCCCACCGAACAGGCAACAAAAAGAAATTAACAATCACAGATCGCTTCAACGCCACCGGACGTTTTTCATCTGCTTCTCCAGTTCCTCCTTAACGGCCATGACGTCCTGCGCCCTGCGCTTCCAGGGTTGCCAGAGGCGTTCCATCTGGAGCCATACTTCCATAACTTCCTGAGGTCCGCAGCAACGCCCAAACGCGCGAAGGATGGTCAAAATCATGCGACGACCGAGAAATACCCCGTTCTCAATTTGACGCTCCAATTCCTCCTCTGGCGCATCGGAACCAAGTGCCTCGTCATCGCGTGCTGGCCTGTTGGAGACATCACCGGGCTCGAGAACTGTGTCGGGTTCCGTAGGTATGATCTCCCCAACGCTTGGCTCTTGCACTTTGACAGGGGTCTCTTTTTGTGGTAAAGAGGTGTACAAACCGGTTGGCGCGTGCGGAACCGAGGGCTGTGCGAGTGAGATGTACGATTCAAGCAATGGATTCTCCCATGTGGGGCTTTTCCTTCGAGGGCGGGGATGAAATTCTTGTTCAAACCGCGACTTGGATTCGTACAGGGCTCGCAGATATGTGTTCCATGCCACTCGCAGTCTCTCCGCTGTCCACCCTTCTCTTCGCCGCCCATGATGGGCGAACCCATCGAAGAGGAACATGTATATCAACCCGCGCGGTGGTACAGCAAAAATCTTCTCCATGTCAGTGATGATAGACATCAGGGCCCCAATGTCGCCGGTTTTTTGGGCGTATAAGGACAGAAGGATGCGGAATGTGCGGGTGTCAGGAGTGATGGCGATCGCTTTCTGAAGCGTGCGATAATGATCTGGCATGTGATCTTTGAGGTGGGCGGAGATCTCTAGGAGGCGATTGAGCCTTTTCGATCTTGCTCGGTAACTCTTCATGTCGGTGGTTAAATTACCATGAATGGCGTGAGTGCGGGAGCCCGCAGCCTGGTTCATCATCATTTGTCCATAAATGGCTTCCGCTGCTTCCACATCTCCGGCAGAGATGAAGGCGGCCATCAGGCAGTTCATAACGGCAGTGTCAACAATCTCGCCGCTCGAGGCGAAATCATCGAATGCTTGCCGGACGCCATCAGCATCATGCTGTTGGCCATGACGATAAATTCTCGACACTTTGCCGGTGCGTCCGAATTGGAGACCTCGCTCTTCCATTTCCACCACGAGCCGATCAGCAACGGTGAATTGACCGGCTTTGATAGCAATGTCAAAGAGGATGGTAAATACAACCCCGTCTGACTTGACTCCGCCCCAATGCTCCATCTTCTGCCAGAGACCGATCGACCTTACTAAATCTCTTTTATATACTCTGCCCGATGCCCGTCCTGCGAGATGAATAGCAGAAGTCCATAAAGAGCGGGACACCGGAAGCTTGGCAATAACCATATCGTCAAGCAGCGCCAGGAACCGTCGCGCTTCCACCCACCGGCGGTTCTCAGGGGTTGCAAACCGGCGCAGCAGAGCACCCCGACAAGCTTTCGAGAGACGCGCAACTCCCGGGTGAGGAATATCCCTGTAGAGTCGGAATATGTACTGATTTGATTTGCTCTCGTCCCACACGGCGTCCCGAAATCTCGTAACCGAATCGAGCTCCACAGCATCGTCCGACATTGCTTCCTTAGTCGACGACGCTCGTGCCGATGATGGGCTCACCATGGTTCGATCCCTGGTGACTAGATCTGCTGCCTGCTCCCAATCGAGTGGATCTTCGAACAGTGTTTTGTAAAAATGTGAGACAGATTTATGTAATGCCTTTGCGGGTGTTGTCCTTCCCTTGTAGCCGTACTTCTTCGGCTCGCATTTTCCATCCGGCATCTGAGTTGTAGTATCATTCGTAGTTGCGTCGTTGCGCGCGGGAGAGTTGGCCTCGCTCTCTGGTGTTGTCTTCTCTGCGACAGACCTAATTTCATGTTCTTCCCGTGGACCACTGTTGTCCTCCCCGTATGCAGCGAAATTGCGGTTGCCAGTGACGTTTGCACTGTGCGTTCGCGCGCGAGGGCCCTGCGAGGGCCTGTTCACCCACACATAGCCTTCTTCATTGTCGTCCTTCACCCTCAATGCGACTCCCGAGTTGAACATCCGTTGCGTCCTTGGGTGATGCAAACTTTCCGGTGACGAGCTCAGGCGACCAGGAGGACGCGTGGAGGAAATTTCCCCGGTCTGTCTCAAGCGCCGGTCCTGCCAGCTGACCGCATTACCTCGGGAAGATTTTTGGGGCATTGTCGAAAATGCTCTGCCACGAGGCGAGTGTTCGCGGCAGTAACCGGCCACCACCAAGGAACCAACGAATACGTCGGCTATAGACGCCGCAGTGGGGCGGGGCCGTCTGGAAGCAAGTCGTCTGACGGAGGCATTGTAGGAGAACGAATCGGGGGTTGACATGAAAGGGTAATTGAGGGACAAGCACGTATCCAATCGCTGCGAGAGAGGCCGCAGATCGGGCGAGCTCGGGAACCTAGTGGAAGGAGGCATGAGATGACAGACATCGTGGCATTGGATCAGCCATGCATGTCCCGAGGAGGTCTCGAGCAACAATTCCTGGGGAAGTTCAGGCGGCGAATGTATGGATATGGGGATGCGACGGGGTGTAGAGATGAGGGGAGAGGAGGGGAGGGGAGGGGAGGAGTAGAAAGGGAGGAGAGGAGAGGAAAGAGAGGGAAAGAGAAAGAAGGGGAAGGATCAGTTCTTTGATAGTTGTAACAGTTCGAACCAAGTCAGAAGGAGAAGAGGAGAAGAGGAGAGGAGGAGGAGGAGGAGGAG